GTGGTTTTTCACTTAGAAAATCCATTTTTTCGGCCAGCCCTTCTGTGCAGGGTCAGTCACACTGTCATCTTCTAGCTTCTGACCCCTTCCTTAGTTTGAAAGAAGATTTTGCCATAACGGCGTATTTTTAGCAGTACTTGGAATGTATCTGTACCACCTTTTAAATCTCTCTTATAGTAGATCTTGGAATTCCTGTTTTTCAAAGATGTTCTGAAGGGCTTTCCTCTTTATAGGAAAGGTGGTAATGGCCCAGCGTCAGGAACACTTCTTAAAAAATCTGCATCACCAGAAATGGTGAACTAATTTATATCCAGAACTGACTTTCCTAAAAGCTAAAGATAACATTGAGATGTAGGAAGCGTTAGATACCTGGATTTTAGTGTGTGATTCCCCTGACAAAACGGGATGGTGAGTGTACCCGTGTCGTTTGGTTCCTCTGCCTAGCGTAGAGTTCAGCAGCAGAGCAGGACACCGTGCTTCCCACTGCAGAACCGTGATAAAGCCTTGGCTGACTTCAGTTCTGCTTCCTCTCCCTGCCCTCCCGACGGCACTGCGACACCCACCGTAGCATCTCCAACAAGCTGCTCTAGAAAGGCACAAGCAGCCCTGCCCCTCCCTCTGCGCCGAGGCGGCCCCGGGAGCCGAGCAGCTGGGTGTTGGGCGCGGGGGGGGGGGGCAAAGGCTGGCACAGAGCCCAAGGACCCTCCGGGGCCAGGGGGCAGCGGTGAGGCTTTCCCTGGGGAAATGGGAGCCACGGAGCAAAGGACGGTGGCCACACGGTGGCCACACGGTGGCCACGCAGTGGCCGGCACTGCAGCAGCACGGGAGCTGGGGGGGAGGCGGGATGCGGAGGGCGGCTTGGGTGTGGGGCCGATCGGCACCTGCAGAGGGGCAGCTGGAGGAGGCAGAGTGTGGGGTGAGGTCAGGGATCTACCCTGGGACTGCGGATTTCTTTGGTTTCTCTTCCCAGGTGAGAGTCCCCGGGGGGTGGGCTCTGTGCAGTGTGCCACTTCAGGGCAAGTGCTGCGCTCTCCAGAGTGGTGCAGTCCACATCCACGTCAGTGGTTGGTGTAGGAAGCCGTGCCCCGCAGGCTGTGCTGCCCTTCCGCACGCCTTTTCAGAGAACAGGCTGTGTGACCTAGGGACAAGGCAAGCTGCTCTCATGAACGTTCATTACCTCTTCATTATTCAACAGATTCAAAAAGCCGCCTCGACTGCCCGCAGTGAGCTAGAAGGACGCAAAGGCACCATCTCCCAGTACTTCACGACCTTACACTGTCCCGTGTGTGATGAACTGACCCAGTATGGGATCTGCAATAAATGCAGAAGCCAGCCACAGCACGTGGCAGTGATTCTCAACCAAGAAATCCGAGAGCTGGAGCGTAAGCAAGAGCAGCTGGTCAAGGTACGATGGGAGCGTCGTCAGCTGCCTGTCAGCCAACGACAGGGGCTGAAATGTCACTGAACGCCCCGGCTGGAACGGGAGGTACCGGCGGGCGGTAAAGGCGGCACAGCTCGCTGGCTTCCCCCGCTGCTGTTGGAGGGCATCACAGCGGCTCTTGCTGTCCTCAGCTTTGCGTAAAACTGAGGGCAGAGGATCAAAACAGAAGATGCTTTTCTCCTTATCTCCTTTTTTTTGAGAGTATCTTACACGGTATGTCGGTGCCTTTTTATGACGACACTGGTGGAGAGTTGTGTGAAAGATTCACCATTTCTGCATTAAAACAACTTGACGGTGTTCCAGTGACAAAAACGTTTGTCCCAGTAAATGTATTTATTATATAAAATCTATTTATAAAACACATGGATGTGTGTCAGCTTGGGGGGTTTTCTCGTTACCTCTCCTCTCGATTAGGAATTTTCCAAGCTGCTGTTTTCCCTTGAGCTAGAAGTCAATTAAGAGGGTAGCTGGCTGTGCTTCACGAATAGATTATACAGGGCACAGGGCCTCCCCTTGCAGAAACGGGCATATGCTCACCTGATTGTCATGCTGTCGTATTTTACTATTGATAAATATTTTTGTTAAAATTTCTTTTTAGTGCTGGCACATGAGCCATTTTAAAGACTCGTCTGAATTGCAGGGATATAAATGTTCCTGCAGTCTGGGCATTGATTTCATAGGTTCCCATGGGGCTCTGTTGCTAGAAAAACATTATAATTCACTATTCATAAATACTGCATTACTAAGGTGTGGACTTTGGTTTCTTGCTGTATTTTGTGATATTTGCTCTGATCTGCGTTGTAAATGGCAGCAGAGGAAGGTGACGCATGTCCTGCAGTTTTCCCGTGGTGCTCTGCACCTTCTACACTGCGTTTGTCCTGGAAAACGCATCAGGACTTGGCAGATTGTCCAGCCCCGCAGAAGGATCGGTGGGTGTGCTCAGAACACTCCCCTGTCCCTGCGCCGTGCCGCGCGTCGGCAAGGCCTGGGCTCCCGCCCCAGCCAGCGCCCGGCGGCCCGGCCGCTCTGCAGGAGCGCCTGTCTCCGTTCCAGGTGAAGACGTGTATATTCCCTGGAAGGGCTCAAGGCCGGGTTGGACGGGGCTGGGAGCCCCCTGGGCTGGGGGAAGGGGGCCCTGCCCGGGGCAGGGGGGGGCACTGGGTGATCTTTAAGGTCCCTTCCAGCCCAAACCAGTCTGTGATCCTTCACAGCTTAAATTCTTGGCCCTCCTAGGTTATAAACATGCCAGAGCCAGCGGCAAATTGATGTAACACGGAATCATATGTTATTTTAAAACACACTTAAAAATTACGTGCCACAGATTAAGGCCGCAGACTTCTCCCCTCTCCACAAACTGAACTTAGAAAGCGTCTCCAGTACCATTTAGTTTAGTCCGTTGCGTTCAAACCAGCCACAGGTTTTTTCGAAAGAACTAGGGTAGACTTCTTTCCGAGGCTCTTCTGGTGGTTACAAACCTGGAACCAACCACCTAAATCCGGATCCTTTTGGTCCCGGCGCGGGTCAGAGGGCTGGTGCCCTCCGGGGGCCGCTCCTCGCCAGCCGTGCTCCGTTTGTCCCGGGTCTGCGGGGCCTCGGTGCTGGTACCGGTCCGGCTGAGAGGGCGCTGGTGCCCGACTCACCTTAGTGTGGAAGGAAGGAAAAGAACTCCTTTTCAAAGCAAAGGATAGGATTTTGATTTGTTGTTCAAATTATGCAAGCGGTAGGATAAGGTTGTGTAATGTTTCGATGTTACGAAAGACGAGTGTGGTTGGAAGCGAATTTCTGAGGTTGTGGAAAAAGCGTCGGAGGTGGCAGATACTGGAAAGGATTAAAAATAAAGTAACGAAGCAGGGGCCTTCAGTTTTACTGGGCGTAGCTACCTTTGGGAAAACTGCCCGCTGCTATTTTATTCCATCGGGCATCTCCCGCTAGGAGTGTTTTCAGGCAGCAGTAACTACGCTCAGGAGTAGTTCTGTGAGCAGGGAGAGCAGCGGAACCGGCGTGCCCCGGGCACTTGTGTCCTGGGATCGATCGGCTCCGACCCGGAGGGTGAAGCTGCCGGGCGATCCGCGCCGCGCTGGGCTTCAGTTGAAACTAACCTGTTTTGCTCTTTTCACATGTGATGCAGATATGCAAGAACTGCACGGGCTGCTTTGATCGACAGATCCAGTGTGTCTCCCTCAACTGCCCCGTACTTTTCAAGCTCTCCAGAGTGCGCAGAGAACTGTCGAAGGCACCGTATCTCCGCCAGCTGCTTGACCAGTTTTAAATGATCTGTGTTACAGGATTCCAGGTGCTATTTTTTTTTTTTTTTTTTTTCCTTCAGTGTTTACCACACTAAGACTATTGTGCATGGTGCTTTTTCGATTCTCATCTAGTCCAGGATTTCCATTTTAACTGTTGGGTTTATTATCTGAAGAATAATGAACGCTTATCCTAACTAAATTAAAAAGAAAAAAAAAGAAAAAAATTTAAAAATACATTTGTTGATCTATGAATAGCTCACTTTTTAAGATGTACAAATTTCTTCTTTCCTTCATGTTTCTAACATACTATTTTATAATGCTGATGTTGAAATAGCTCTGTGTAACATCTTGTAAATCCATTTCAAAGTAGAAGTCAAGTTTACTTCCTGGAGGAAGGAGCACTGAAAACCTCTCGAAACGATAAAACCATTAGTGTGTGTTCTTGAACTGTCAGTATCAAGACGTGTTACTTATATATTATCCATTCACTTTATAATTTTGTCTGCGAAATATTTTGTAAATACACTTTTTTACTTTTCAAACAACTGAGCAAAATAATGTGCAATGACTTTTATACAGATAATTTTAAAGTTGGTTGGTATATCTCCTCCTCAGTTTTGCTTGATTCCAAGTAGATTGTTATTTTGATCAGACTGTGCAAGCAGTAGTATCATGTGTAGCATTTTGAAACATTATTTTCTAAAAATTGCTGTCTTGCTTTAGCTATTAATGGGGCATTGTGAGGAACTGTGCAAAGACATTTTTGTTACAAACCTGTGGGACTGTTGCAATACTTTAAATATAAAATTTTATTCCATTTTTGCTTGTTTTGTATAGACATTTCTATTGCTTCTAAATATGCTTAAAATATTTTCTTTCCTTATGTACTGTACAGTTAAATCTTATTTGCCACCATCTTGACAAAATGTGTATTTAGAATATTTGTATAACTGTATAAAATGGAAAAGGAATTATGTGGTCAGTGCATTGTTTTCTAAACTGGAAATCATTTTGTTTTAGAAGTTAATAATGGAAACCATATTAAAGTTGAATAAAATGATATGGTAAAAATTACATGCTTTTTTAATATCTGCCCTCGACTGCAGACACCTTTGTTTCCCCAGTTCAGCACACAACCGGTAATGTAAACAAGACTGCTCTTACTCGAGCAAAAGAAGCCACAATTCAGTTTCCAGCTTTGGGATCTAAAACCTCCCTGGCAGTTCTTGGAGGCTTCCCCAAGCCAGGCGAGAAACATTTCCAGTTTTCCATTCATCAGAACGGGAGTAAGTTTTAAATTTAGAAGTCCAGAGTAGCTTTGAAAAATAGAACGAAACTTTATTTACATCAGGGAACCTGAGTGCCTTCTCCAGGTCAGAATTTATTACATTCAAGATACAAGTCAGTCTATTCAATTTCACATTATACCGTACACTGTAAACCCACACCAAGCAGAATAAAAGCTATTAAATATGTAATAGAACACCCACAGATTGCGATGCGCTTTGATGCGAAATAACTGAAAACACCCATCAAGGCACACGACTCTGCCTAATCCTGCAGCCGAGCGTCGGTCGGGTACGGCACCAAAGTGCAAAGGCCAGGACTAACGTGTTTGTGCTTGCCATACAATCCAGCAGCTGGCAGTGCTTTGGGGGCCGAAAGGAAAATATTGAATGGCATTTAAGTGCGAGAGGTTACCTTGAACACGAGTCAGTGGGCAAGTGCTCATCTTGAACTCAGTCCTGGCTTTATGGACAAAACCACGATTCCTCGTAAATTCAGGTACCTAATTGATCCATGCACCACAGTGCTCATCCTCAACACCGAGACGACTTTTCTAGCATGCAAGGCAATGGTAAAGTAATACAGTTTACTTCAAGTAATTTCTACCCCTAACGTGTAAGTTTAAGTGTTGAAGCTTTCTGGAGGATCCGTAACTTAAAAGGCACTGTAAATAGATCCTCACTGTAACTGCGTATGCCAGGAAGCAGTTTACTTTGGAAGGAAATTTAAACATGTAAGAACTAACATTCATTTGTCTAAAAACAAGCTTGGAGGAACACCGAAATCCAAGAAGTAAGGAAGCCGCAGCCTCGACCGCGAAGGATGTCCAGAACTGCTGTGAGCTGGACTCCTCCTCGCTGGAAATGCCCTAGGTCTGTTTTCATCTGGAATTGCTTTAAACGGTCCGTTTCCATCAAAGGGCAGCCCCTGCTCTTGGGAGCATGCTTTCAGTGCCCGAGGAGGGAGAACAGGCTCGGCGGGTGTCCTGCCCAGCCAGCCTGGGCCCAGACCCAAGCCGGGGGAGGCTCCCGGTGCGCGGAGCGGGGCTCCAGGCCCCCCCAGGCCCCGGCCCCCGTGTTCCACCCCGTCTCCCCTGACGGGCGACGCTCGCCCCCGCGGCCCAGGCTCTTGCTCGGGCCACCTCCTCCAAAGGGGGAAAATGGGGATGAATTCAAGTGGCTCGTGCAGGAATTAATGCAGCCAGTAAAAAAAAAAAAAAAAACAAAACAAAACAAAGTCTTTGCACACAGTATTTTCACATGTGTTGGGAAGACATCGATCAGAAACGCAAAGAGCTCTGTCCAGATAAGCCGTACGCAGATAAGGTTCAAAGAGGCTAGAGCACATCTCCCAGTGTGGCTTTACTGTCATCTTCGGGTTTTTATTATGCAAGACAGGTTAGATATCCCTGAGAACAATCTGACACGCAGGACACTCCAATTTGGAATTTCATTGCAAAAGTCAGCCTCTGAACTGGGGATTATTCTAAAACTCCCTGGTTGCCTGGTGCGGTTCGTGCACTAACTTTCGTCGGGCACCACCATCTCAGGCCTGGGGAGACGTTTCGCCTCAGCGGCAGCTCCGGTGAGGCCGCGGGGCCTCGGCGCAGCCGGGAGCTGCAACTCTGCCCTTTGTCCTGCACCAAACCCCGTCTCTGCCAAAGGAAACCGGTGACCTCCCCGGGGGCCGGGAGCCCCCGCGAAAGCAGCTACCGCCGCCTCTCCCCGTCCACCGGCAGGACCTGCCCCGCCGCCTCACGCACCGCCTGCTTTCCGCACACACGCCAAGGCGCTGCTGTAGCGCGGGGGCAGAAGGGGGAAAGGGGAGCTGACGAAATGCAGCTTACACCCGGGCCCGTTTACACCACCGCCTCGTGCCGCAGGGCTGCACTTGTTACCGCACGGCCCAGGGCCCTGCGGGCTCCCTCCTGCTGCTCAGGTGCTGTCGCAGGCACCGAGAGGAGGATTTGGCCTGGTGCTTACAAGCATTTAGCATTACTTTAAGCAAAGGGGAGAACCCTTGTGTGGCAAGTGGAACGAGGCCGTATTTTAAAGTGCAGGTTCATGCATTGCACTGGAAAAGGTGCCACGGAAGTGCACATACACACCAGAAAAAGAAAAAAAAGGAGTCAGGTGAAAGCTCAGTGGCACAGAAGTGCCAACAGCAGAGGGAGGGGGAGGCCCTTCGACATGGCAGGATGCAAAAAAAGGTGCATTTTCACTACAGTTGGATTCCTGCATCTCACTACTCAGAAGAAAGGAAAAAGCCATGAGGTCCTAGATTGCACACTCAGAGGACAGGAGAGGGAACAAAACCAGACCTGCAAATACACTGAACATCTGAGGTTCTGTGCAATGTTACATCTCGAGCTCTTGTGTTTGTTAGTAAATTAAACTCTTAGCCAGAAAAATACTAATAAAAGTGCAAAGGGAAAAACCCCCAAACACGAGCAGGTGCCGATCTCGCAGCCTTAGAAAAAAACCTACACATCTGGAGCTTCAAGGAGGCAAACAGAGCTCTGCCATCAGCTGCTGCTTTTTTTGCCCTTAGTGGGGAGGCCCTGACCAGCCCCTCCCCGCTTCGCAGCAACGAGCCCACAGACACAAACCCCCGCTGGGGAGAGTCACCCCCCAGCAAACAAACCCCAAACTTAGAAATATCACATCCCTCTGTCAGTACCATATATTAAGTAATCCTTGTATTGAATTTTATCACCTCCCTCATACTTTTGTTGATTTCAGTGGTAGAGCAGTAATTAACATCACAAGTACTTTAGACTACTTCGATCGGTCACCACAGTCTAACTAGGAAATCTGAAGTAAGCATTCCAGCAGATTAATACGACCCATTTTGTCCCACTTCCCACATTCCACTTCCCTCAATTGACCCAAAGGCATGGTTCTACTCCTAAAAATTGAGGTTTTTTCTTTTCTTAGTGGCAGAACCAGCAAATTACATAGTTTGCCAATAGGTTATCCGACTTAGAACTGCTGGGCATCACCTGCAATTTGACTTGATTTCCTGGTTTACGTCACACACGAATGTTCAACACAGCAGAAACATTCCTCTTTCAAGAGATAAGAAAGCTCAGCGTCACAGATAAGATTTCTCTCCTCTCTCATGGAAACATTTGTGACCAGGCACCTCGGAACTGCACCTTCCACCTGCCCCAAAAATGTGAGTGCTCTGAGCAGGCCCCTTCTTTCCTAGTTAGTTCCTTACAGCAAACGTTACGTACAGGCGTGCCTCCCGTTTAGCAAACGTCCCTTGTGTATCGTCTGCACATTCCACCACCCCAGCCCATGCACGTCACGGCGGACCCTCCCCCGCCAGGACACCTCACTGCAGCCTGGAAGTGAGAGGGAAGCAAGGGCCAGACAAACGCGGAGACGAACACGCCGAGCTCTGCGCCGCGGCAGGCGGATTCTCCAGCCACCTGACAAGAACAGCTACAATTCCATCGCATTTCCGTTTTGTTTTTTGTCTTTTTTCTTTTTTTTTTTTTTTAAAAAAAGTCAGCTTTTACTTTAATCGTTCTTCTCCCGATCGACATTCACATTTTTTCTCCCAGGGGAGCCCCCGGCCACCGCTGGAGAATCACAAAATACATCGTCCAGGTGGGGCTGGAGAGAGACTCTGGCTGGAGAGTCCCCTGCTATCTTACGGGAGGTCTCGATCACAGAGTTTTTCAGCGTGTCATTCATTTCTATGACCTCAAAGTCTGCTTCGTTCCACTCCTCCTCGTCCTCCTCGTCCTCAGTGAGCCCCGGGTTCGACAGCAAAGCTTTCCGGTCCTCGCTCTCACCCGCTCCTTCCGAGCGGCTCTCACCGGGGGCGTTGGCCAGCCTGTACATCAGGGGGAAGAGGACGGCGGTCACGGCAGAGGTGCCCAGGGCGGTGTACATCACCACGGGAGCGTGGCGGAACCTTCCCTGCAGATACCCCACCACGGCAGGGATGCACATCTCGCCCAGCGCCGCGCCCACCACAAAGAGCGAAGCCGCCTTGCCGTGCACGACCGTGTACTGCTCCACCCAGGAAATGCCGCTGGGGAAGACGGTGGCCATGGACGCCCCGTACGCCGCGGTGCCGGCCCACAGCCAGGCCGGGCGCCGCGTGAAGGCGGCCAAGCAGGAGGAGGAGGCGGCAGAGCCCGCGACACTCAGCAGGATCATGGTGCCGGGGTACAGGCAGGCGGCACAGAATATCGCCGCGCCCCGGCACGCCGCAAACGCGCCCCAGAAGACAGAATTCAAAGCGGCCGCTTCGTTTTCTTTCATCTCGGCAAAGACCTTCGCGTAGGTAAATATGTAGGAGCCGTAAGTGACTTCCGCTCCCACGTAGCAGAAGAAGAATACGAACAGGAGAAAAATAAGAGCGTAGTGGTATTTGGCAAACACGCACTTCTGCAGCGAAGCCTTGGCCTTGTCTCGAGCGGAGCTGCCCTTCGAATACAAAACCAGAAAGAAGGAAGAGACTAACAGCAGATAGGTCCCGATGACGACGTAGGACCACAAAAAGTCAGCACCGAGTCGGTGTCTCAGCGCTGAGGCAGCTGACGCAGCCGACGCCGTCGGCACAGACCTCGGGACAGACTGGTTTGTCTTTTCAGCTCCTGGGGGGTCCTCGGAGCCAGAGCCTCCCAAGGCCATTTTAGCCAGGATCGGAGCCACAAACGCGCCGACAGCAAAACTGAAGTGCAAGGCCTGCATGTGGGGCCCAGCCTCTGCTCCCCAGGTATTCAGTGCCAGTACATTGCCACCTGCAGACCGGAGAGAGGAGGAGTCAAGTCATTTTAGTCTGAAACCAGGCATTGTTTTAAAGAAAAAAAAAAAAAAAAAGACAGACAAACCAAATCAAACCATAAACTGTATCACTAATTCAATTTGCAGCAATATCAGGTTCAGCAAATACAACGTGCACGACTGTAGTTAGCTGAAATTCTGCACGTTGAACCTACGCGATTACTTGGGCTTCAGGAGGGTATTCACAGCGGGCAAAGTGAAGAGCCAGGGCAGTGGCATAATCCAGCAGCGATGGCTGTACTTAACTGTTGGGCCAGGGGAGGTTTAGATTGGATACTGGGAGAAATGTCTTCACCAAAAGGGTTGTCAAGCACTGGAACAGGCTGCAGGGGAAGCGGTCGAGTCGCCATCCCTGGAGGTATTTAAGAGACCTGGAGATGTGGCGCTGGGGGCCAGGGTTCAGGGGTGGACTTGGCAGCATCAGGTTAACAGGTGGACTCGATGATCTTAACAGTCTTTGCCAACCTAAATGATTCCATGATTCCAATTACCCTACTTGACAATTTGCAGCGTTTTTCAGCCTTTATTCAATAAAGCAAATTTAACTGCTTCTCATTTCTGTACGTATTAACAGCAACAATGCACAACGCTAAGGATCAGAGGCCTCGTTAAACAACATTCCAGGAAACAGCAAGAATCACTTGCTTCTGATGGGCTGGGACTACCTCCACTGCGTACAAGCGACTTTCCAGAAGCAGAAAGATTTACAATACCACTGCAAGGACCAAACTACCACACCCTCTGGTCAACAATAACGCTAGAAAGTAAGACCTCAGAGAGACATTTTTAAGTAGTCCCTGAGAAGAATACAGAAAAACAACAACAGTAATCAAACTGCTGCGCTGCAGCACAGCAATCCTTGTTACCCAGCACTAACGCTCTTCCAAATGAACTCAGTTACTCTGCTGCCTCGCTCCTGCTTCCCCCTGCCACACCTGCTCAGGCTGAGAAGCCTCCCTGTCTCCAGGGTCTGACTTCCAAGCAGCACACCCCCACCCACTGAAGGCGTTTTGACAATAAGCCAACAGGATTTTCCCATTGGAAGAATTTTTAAACCAAGCCCCACGTATAATCCTACCAGAGGAGGCAAATACGCCTGGGCACTCAGGTTATTCAGCATAACCTGTGCCATGCAAAACCATCTTTTTCACTACTGGATCCTCCATCATGCTCTTTTTAGCGTTACCGGAGCTCCCTCAGACTCCCCCGAATTAGGGCAGACGGTTCACACGCGCAGCCATCGTTCCTCTGCGTTGCCCACCAGCCAAGCCACCGAAACCGAGCCCTGGCTGGGCTGCTTCCAGCGCTGTTTGGAGAGCTAGGCTAACACATCAGCCAGCTCTTTCTCAGAAATAGGCCTGCCCCAAAGATGGTCAACAGGCTCCAGTCATACCTTGCTGGCCAGCGAGCAAGCAGAGGCTCCCCAGTAAGCCAGGCAGGTCGGCACGCCGCTGAGAGGCGCCCGGAGGTGCCGGGCGAGCCGCCGCCTCTCGCGGCTTCACCGCCACCTTCTCCAGCAACGCCAGAACGCTCCACTGCTGATGTGGTTTTGGTTGTTTCCTCATCCCCACCTGCAGGTTTGCCAGCGTTACCCGGTCGCCTCTCGGCGTGCTTCGTGCTGTGGCCTTGCCTCCTGCTCCGAACCGCCCACTGCACCCAGCCGTCGCTAGCTCACCCCTTCTAAGCCGTGCCCAGGGAGCTCACTTCTGTGGGACTTTCTTCTTTCGTACCGCTGGTAGAACTGACCTTTCCAACCACACCTGTAGACATCTGCTCCGCAACATCACTGGTACATCTTCCTCCAATAATGAGCCTCCACCAAGAAATTGGGTTTGAACGGTTTTCCAGCATCAGTGCGATTTTTTTTTTTTTTTCCCCCAAGCCGTTTGCAGTGTGCACATGCCACAGACGATTTGCGCGGGGGATAAAATACATTTGTATTCCCCAACACCCAAGCGAGGCTGGCCAAGGACAGCCAACATTCCTTAGTTCAGGAAGACAGACGCCACGGTGCTGTAAGTGAGCTGTGGCAGTAAATGTCTGCTGTGAATCCCCAAATGCCACCCAGCCAGCTTCAGGCAGGCAACCCTCCAGCAGAGCAACTGTGAGAATCTCTCCCCCAAACACCGGGGCTTGCGCAGGGCTGACTTAGCGCCAGCTGGCACCAATGAACCGTAACCCTACGAGCTTCCTGTAGATGAGCAATTCAAAGAAAACACCACTTAAAGAGCATGTGACACTTTCTTCACGCCTGTAGCTGCCTGCTGAAATACACATTGATCTTCTCCAGGAAGCAAGAGACACCCAGTTCCCCAAGCCCCTTAAGGAAGGCCTGTTACAGAGACACAAACACTGGGAAGTCTCGGGACCAGAATAATCCAAGAATCCCAGCCAGGTAAAACAGCTCCCCTCTTTTAATTCAAGATGAAACACCAGCAACAGTTTCGGTGAGCTTGAAGTTTCTCATTCGTTTGGTGGAGGAACTATCAATCAGACCACGTGGTCCCTTACCTGTGTCTAGAATTCCCATGGAAGCTCCAATAACTGACATCAAGACGGTTAACAGCAGGGATTTCTTACACCAAGGTATCCCATAGAGACCAACCGTTGTTCCAAACATGGATAATGCTGGAAAGGTTAAAAAAAAAAAAAAAAACAAAACAAAAAACCCACATACTACAGTTTCCATTTAAACTACAAAACATACAGAAGACATTCATAATTGTTAAAGTTAGAGATAATCCTAATAGGTGACGTAACCTAACTAACCTCGATTCATGATTAGCAGAAGCAGCTTGAAAGATCAACAGAATCATTTTTCACTTGGAAAAAAGGAATTTCATTCAGAATATAAATGCTACATGAAAAACCTGTTTTGCTAAAGCTTTATTTGCAAAGGGAGTAGCATCCGCTGCTAGGACACTAAGAAATCTTCTGCAAACTTTTGATTTAGAAGTGCTATTTCAGTATCTTCTAATCTAAAAATCTTACTTTACCATGAAAGGAATAAACCATGTTTTTGAACAGTGTGAAGTTTTCCCTCTGAAACTTACAAAGCATTAAATCTGACTACACTTTAAAAGAAGCCAAGTCACGAAGCTCTTAAAATCCTATAAAGTGATTGCACCCTGGCCAGCGAGCGACCTCCATGTAAAGATGCTGACTTTCATTCATATTCTGTTCTCACAGGAGGGAGGTATTCCAAGGGATTTCTGGAGTTTTAAGGGACAGAACTACAAAATTTCTTATCATAAACTTAGCTACAAAATGCTTCATCATAAATTTAGCAGCAATTCATTAACTGTATTAGTCTTGCTATTATTAACTACACTTACAGCATGCCTTTTCAGAAAACATTATTTAGCAGATGGAAATTATTTTTATTACATTTTGGGAGGAAGTTTAGCAGCTAAGTTCTATGCTTATAATCTTTCATAATAAAATAATCTGCCATTAGTATCTTGAGTATACAGTATTATGTTTTCAGAAAGCTTGTACCAGCTCAGACGTCTCTAGTATTTTTCAAATCAATGCTTGATCATAGGTGGGGGATTGACGTAATTAATAACTAAGGGTAATTCCAGACAAAACCAACAACAAACACAGGAAGAAATAAATATCCAGTACCCTAGAGCCCTAGCGAAACACTTGGAATACATGCCTCAAAACATTTTTGAAGGCTACCATGCTGAGCTGCATAGAAAAAAAGCTAGAGATGGGGTGTATTAAGTACAGCTTCTCAGATGCCCCACTCAGAGCTGAAAAGTAACTTCTCAGCAAGTTCCCAGTTGTCCACTTCGGCTTTGTGGCTACTTAAAAGCTTCCTTGACAGACTGATTACGTCTTCGTTTTTTTTTTCTGTACAGTAGCAGAGTTTCAGCAGCTAAAAGACAGGAGATAAAACTGCACATGCCAGTATCTCTTACAGGCAGCCCTTGTGATAAAAACAAGAGAAGCGTCAATAGTTCAAAGTGTGGTTTTGCCATAAGCACTACCAAACTGGAAAGGTTGACGAGATGAATCATTTTCCAAGCATTGTTGACAGCAGCTATCCTGTGCGATACCTCGGGAAAAGAAGCAAATACTAAATTCTTTCATGTTAACACTCACTTCCACAGATGTATTAATTCCATTATGGAAGGCAGAGTCTCAAATGTCAGACACCGACAACTCTGACCTGTCAGATGCACAAGGAGGCTAAAGGAAACCCGCTTTACAGGTGTTCTAGAGGAAAGGATTAACAAGCAGGGAAGGAACTAAATAAAGACATCTCAGAACAAGAGCAAATAAGAATTGATCCAGGAAGGTGGGTATCTTATCCAGGGATAAGAAGAGAATTAGTTCAAACACTAGCAATGGAAAGTGGAACTTCTCATATCTGTGAACTGCCCTTGCAATTACAGCACGATCCTCAGGGGAGGCGCAGTCCTGCCTGAACCTCCCCAGGTAGAGGACGGGAGAGAGCAAGGCTCTGGTTTAGTCCCTAACTTACAGCACAAAGGCCCGTAGTGCCGCTACTGCACTTGAAAGAAAAAAGGAGAGAGTCTCCACTATTTTGGGTGTGCTCCAGGAATCTCTACCCGAACAAGACACGAGCACGACTCTAACAGGAGCACTTCATTTCTGGATGCTGAACGGAAACTGTGCTTGCTGCAGTTTAACCATTTTCTAGAGCTAAGCAGCAGCCGAACTGCAAGTTTCTGCCACCACAGGTGGTATTTAATAGTTTTTCCATGGTTAAATCAGGTTCTAATTTGGTTAAGGCCCTCCAATCAAAATCTTAGTACTTTCATCCAGTATACGAAGACGATCACTCCTGATGAGCTTCAGGAAAGGGAAGGATTTTACAAAGCTCTCCCCGCAGAAGTGTGCCCCAGCGTGACTGCTGGAGGGTGATGCTGTCTGCACATCAACGGCAAAACAACAGATTCCCTGGTTTATGGGTGTCACAGGGTAACGCTACAGGAGCCTGTATCTCCCGAGAGGATCTGTACTAAATATACGACTTGATACAAAGGAAAAATAAATAAGTAAACCCAACTGTACTTTTCCTGTCCAAACCAAAGGCACCTTTTGGTCAATCCAAAGGGGTTTGGTGGGTCCCAAGCCGGTTACCGCCATTAACGTGCCCAGCGAGCCCAAGCACCTTGGGAGCGATGCCCGACAGCAGGCACTGCCCGGACATACGGACACACCCCCCCCCCACCCCGCCAGAAAACCGAAGCCAACGGGCTATCGCGACAGCAGCACCAGCGCGGCGGTTCGCGCGTGGACCACACACTCACGGTTTCCACGCCACGGCCGCGCCGGCCCCAGGAGCGGGGCCGCCCCTGAGGGGGCCGCTTCCCTCACGGGCGGCCCGGCACTCACCCAGGAGGAGGTGGGCGTTCATGCAGTCGAAGAGCACCCCCCCGAGCACCGACCCCCCCAGGTAGCCCAGGGACCGGCCCACGAAGATGTAGTAGATGTCGCTGACGTTCTTGTGGACGTTGGCGGCCAGGTTCGGGAAGGTGGGCCCCAGCACCGCGATGCTCATCCCCTGCAACACACGCCAAAGGGGGTGACGGTGACCGCGCCGCGGCTCCCGGCCGGGCTGAGGGGCAGCTGCGGGAGGGAGGGAGGGAGGGAAGGGGCCGCGGGTGCGCCGAGCCCGCCCGCCGCCTCGCTCACCAGCCCCAGGAAGGCCGCGCAGAGCGCCCCGGAGATGCACCACCGCAGCGCGGCCCCGGCCCCGGCCCCGCACCGCCAGCCGCCGCCGGCCACCGCCACCTCCGTGTGCGGCGCGGCGGGGACCCGCGGCCCTGCCGCCGCCGCCGCCGCCTCCCCCGGCGCGGCGAAGCGGACGTGCTTCTTCCGCTCGGCGCCGGCCATGGCTCCCGGCCTGGCGGCACCGGCACCGGCGGCCGAGGCGGCCCGCGGGACCCGCCCCGCCCCCGGCTGAGGGGGGGGCGGAGGGGGGGGAAGAACTACAACTCCCAGCGTGCTCCGCGCCGCCGGGCAGGGCGGGGCAAGATGGCGGCGGTTCGAGCTGCCCAGCGGCTGCGGCGGGGGCTCGGGCCGGGGGTACCGGGGCCACTAACGGCTGGGCCTGCACAGCGCACCCGGGTGCCGTCTGAGGCCGTGCTGCTGCCAGCAGGGTGAGGAGCCCATTAATTAAAAGTGCCCTCAGAAACCAGAATATTAAAAAACGAAAAAACAAAACAAAAAAAAAAACATCCACAACAAACAAGACCCCCCCCAAACACCCCAGCGTTATCGCCTAACTCAAAGTGTATTGGGCCTTTCAGATAACAGCATAAATCGCCTTTGCCGTCTAGAGTCCCAGAGTCATCTCCTCCGGGCTTCAAATGATACAGGGCCTAGATAGGAACAGGGGATGTAAGGGTTAACATGGGAATAGCAAGAAGGGGATGACAGGGAAATAGCTGAGATAACAGTTCTGCTTAATGAGTAGACAGTTTGTAAAACATGATGAGCTGAGGCATGGAGTCTTTAGGCTTTATCAGTACAAAGCCAGTTGGGACTAGACCCACGGTTTGGACAACAGCCAGTAAGGGACTGAGTCTGCGCGAAACCTGGGGTCACAGAGCGGACAGGAGGAAGAGGAGCTTGACTTCATCCCCAAAGACCCCCACGACCACCACCAGAAGGCACTGCGCAGACTCAATTGGGAGGAGATAATGGAAATGCTAATTATAATACGAAGCGGGGATAGGTAATGCATATGTATAGGCGTATTGCGAAATATTATGAATATGTAATCATTTGCTCTATAAATCTAAGGTAACGGTGCCACATGGTAGCACACACATTCGGAGGAGCGATCCCCTGTGTGCCCAGCGCTGAATAAACATACCTACTTTACAATCTACCAGATTGTGGAGTCTGTTTTCCGCACGTCACAAACACGCGTCACTTCGCGGGAATCCCTAGAACCTGCCCGCAGCCGCTCGCTGGCTTTTCAAAGGGCTTGGTTTCATTAGTGCTGTTCCGCAGAGAGGTGCTACTCTCAGTAGGGCAGGTTTTAACTTTCAGCATACCTGTTCGGTTTAAGCCTCGCAAACTCCAAGGTAAGGCCAAGCTGGATTTTGGTTTGCTTTGTTTCCCAAGTTGTTCAGAAATAGGTGCTGGAACGGAGCAGGCACTGCATGGCGCTTGCAGCAACCTGAGCCTGGTTCTCCTGGCACTGGTTAGCGTGTGGCAGGTACAGCTCTACTTCGGGATAACCTGAGGGAACGGATGTACGCTTTTTTTAAAAAAAAAAAAAAAAAATCTACAACAAATAACTGCATAAGATAACACTTAAATTGGGTTGTCCATAGCCACCTTTAATATCTTTGCAAGGAGGGCAAAGACTTACTATCAGATACCTGCAGAACACAGCTAAGCTGCTGTTCATAGGTCCATCAGCAGATAGTATTCCAAAGAAAGTATAAAGTAACAGTATTTAATTTCTGAAAGTCATATACAAGTCAAACCATATTTCTATATGTTGGTATTTTGCCTCGTTAAGTAGCTTTCATAATAGCTAGTATAAAATAGTACAAAAATAGCTTCCCGGAAAAAGGCACAAAAGTATTGGAAATGTGTTCCATAAGCTTCACATTTTTGTTTTACATACTTACAAAGAGGTTTTGTACCTCGGGAGCGTACAAATGGCAACAGCACTCAGGCTCTCATAAAGGTTTCAGGCACCTTTTTTAAAATTTTAATTTGAAATACAAGTATTCTAGAGAATAACCCCAGGTGAAATGGGAGTATTTCCCCCTTATCTTTAGATATGTTTATTAAAGCAAATGAAATATTTGGCCCTACTACAAACGAGAGGTGAAAAAACTCCTGTGATTTACTGCAGCTGTCAATAAGGAAACACTTCACACTGCCAAGGTAAGTCAAGGTGAAACTGGTAGTAGGCCAGTAAATGATCAAAGGTCCTCCGAATTACACTGGCAGTTCATGAAGCAAAAATACACAGTGTTCTTTTAAAACACCACTCGAGTTTATTCTGCCACAGTTTCCCTCCCTTCCTCAATTTTACTTCTGCCTTTTGTGAATGCAACTGTTCTCTAAGTTTGATATTAAACCCCAGAATGGGAAATAGAGTAGATAAAATTTTCAGAAGCATGTAACTGTGGAAGTCGGTAGTTTAGGTTTATAAACCATCGGTCTTAAAGTGGATCATCAGTGCAATCAGAATGAAATGGGTTGCATCATATATTAATTTAGGAACAAACATAATGGGGACATTCCAGTCAGAGCACAGTGTTTGTAAATGCTGTAAAGACTTCTACATAGAAGTCTGCACATGAGAATCAGTAATTACCAGAATGTAACAAAATTACTTTAAAATGGCAAGTTTTCCAGGAGAACAAGGCTAAAAATGATGCATGCAATAACAAATGGGGCACTTAAGAACTATCAATCTTTATTCTGAATAATTTGAGACTGATCACAGTTACTTCAGCACCATGAAAAACATCAGACATTCATTTCTTACCCTTCTAACAAAGCAGAACTTTAAAGAATGGAGGTAAAGCTAGCAAAACATATATCCTTTAATATCAAAAACAACATACAAAATATGATGTCTATAAAGATACTTAAACATGTCAGTGTTATCAATATTAGACCACATTTTTAGTATAAAATCACTCTCAGCATATGCAGTTCTGAAACATTAAAAATGTTGACACTATATATAAAGACTAAAAGGCATACTGAAAATATGCCGAAGTTCACACGACTAAAAACTCACTGGCTGTCTGGAACTGTAATGGTGCTGTGCTTGTCAACAATGAAACACACAAATGAAAATAATTACCTTTTCCTCAGCTGTCTCCCACATTCCAGGGCTACAGCTCCTGCAGTTAAATGCGGAATGTTTGTGTAGGCCCTGCCCAAAGTACACGGTATGTATACACACACGCACACACACACACACACGCTCTCAGCATCAGAGGGTCAGTCCCGACAGAAGAGTGAAGATGCCCAACAGTCAGCTGCCGTAACACCTCCAGCTCCCCAGAGGGGCCGGGACTCGGGCAGGGAGCTCCCCGTGCCAGCACGGGGACAAGCCGGCGGCTCCAGCTGCCCCTAAGGATGATCCCAAGGGTCGGAGCACCGATCCCCATCCTGAGGTACTTCCCTCGGGGCTGCAGGGAAGCACCTCCTGTCCCTTAGGCGTGCACCACCCAATGCAAAGAACCGAGCAGGTCATTTCTGCCCTCGAGTGGTAGCGTCCGCTTTTTACACCCGACGTGCGTGATCACAGCGTCCGTCTAGTTCGTGTGAGAGCTGCCTCCGGTACCCGTGGGGTGGTTCAACCTCACATCTCCCACCCGGCAAAAACCTGCCCAGTCTACCAGGCCATGGCTCTTCAAAGGCTTAGCGCAGGGAAGAAGTTTGAGAACGGACGGCTGAGAAGTACTACCCATATCCAACGCGGTGTGCATCAGCTTCGGCAATCCAGTGTCTCCAAAGGGGAAGGGGGAACGTATATGCCCAGACATTGGGCATGAAGAGCCAAAAGGAGAAAAATGGCAGTTGTCTACCTCATCTGATACTGAATATATCCTGACGAACGGCCACAGAATGGCTATGTTGTCTTTGACTTGAGTGAGCAATTTAGGAAGGTCCATAAATGGTTGCTGAAAACACTTAAGAAAAAAAATGAAATGTTAATGATGAACAAAGATCTGGATGAAAGAAATTCTAAGAGTATGTTAATTTAAAGTCCTGGTTTGAGACTGGTACAGGCCTTCCAACACGTAGCCAAAAGAAATCCTTTTTTTATTAAGTAAGCATTGTATATTGTTGCATAGCTTAGATGTAAATAAGAACCTGAAGAGCTTTCATTATTTCAGACTCTTTGCTGAACAGCTATATTAAAATTTACAAGGATCTCATACCTACTGAAAAAAAACCCTAAGTGTCAGCCATACATAAATCTGAGCCCTTGCTCAAAATTGATCTTGGTTTCAAGATCTGGTGTATTAAGTTACAGCATCAAGTAGGACTGAAAATTTCACACTGCCATTTTAAGCGAACCTCTTTCAACCCAGTTTCTTCTGAAGCTTACCCTGAGGTTTAATGGAAAAAAGATGATTACTGTTTATAGGACGGGAGAGCAATGTCTATGAAAAGCACTCTATGAACTGTTCTCAAGAGAGGGATAAATCATTCAAATGTAAGGGCTTTCTTGAACTAAGCTAGCATTGTAATTTTACAGTCTACCCCCAACAAGATTAAATCGGGCATGAATAAGGTCATCAAAATACGAGTCCAGCAGGTTTCCCATGAACAGGTTTTCACACTTAAAATGTTACAAAACTCTATTTACATTTACTCAGTCAAAATAAAATTTAGTATTTGGTGCTTTTCTCTCCTGGTTTTCAGAATAGCAACCATTTCTACGTTATTCAATCATTTTTTCATAAATGTACTAAATAGTTGCTATTTGTGTTGGGGTTTTTGTGTTTTGGGTTGGGTTCTGAGTTGTTTGTTTTGTGTTTTTTTTTTTTAAAGGGAGACAGCTAACGTCATTTTTAAAACCTCAGGGCACACAGAACCCAGTATCTCTCTAAATAAGTTTCTCAGTGGTTCATTAGCCTCACCACTGACAATCCGAACTCTGCTTTCATTTCAACTGCATCTTATCTAGCTTTAGGACATAATCATCCTATGCTTATGTCCAATAAAGAACATTTTCTATTGGGCATTTCCCCCTTAGATACAAGCTGACAGTAAAGATGCTAACAGAATTCTCATGCATTAATTCACTTTTCTTTTTTACCTTTTCAGAAAAATGATCTTTTTCCAAAGCCTTTCCAATTTTATCACTGTTGTAAAACAAAAACCGGTATCAGAAATAGGTTCCTTATTCCAATATCATCACACCAGCATAGCTTCCTTACCCCTAACTCTGCTTCCCTCTTGTCTGATATCCTGTTCACAAGCTGGTTTTAACATAGTAATCACTCCTAAACAATTATTCACTCATACCCTCTTCCTGGAGTCTCTGGGGTGCTTTTTTTAAAAACGCTGTCCTTCATATCTGCGAGAATAAGTTACATTTTTAGTTACTCAAATATAAGAGTTTGGATTTTCATGTACAGATACATTTTTAAAGGGTATGGCAATAATTAATCCATATGATTGTTATACTATTTCTGGATCATTTCTAAAACTTAACAACAATTATTTTATATTCTCTCCCAGATAATTTATATAGATACAGAGCAGCAAGTCAGGAAGTGCCACAGCTACAGCACGATATCTGGTCACAATTATTTCAAATTGCATCAGTGCTAAACAGCAGCCTTGTTTTCGGTTAAAAACTCAACACTAACACCACATGAAATGTAAGATCTGTGATGAATACTAATTTTTCATAACAAAGCAACAGGAAACAAGAGGCTCCTACCACACTTACTCAACACCTTTTGCATTGCAAATAAAAGATAATACTGAATAACACGTTCTACAGAAATACTCCAGACAAGAACAGCATAGGCTATTAACATAATTTTTATAATGAAGGCAGCATTTCATAGTCATTTTAATTAACAATACTATGAATATTTTAATTAAATTTTTAGAAATACTTATGAGGTACAGAAGCACAAGCCCCAAAGAACCTAAAGGGGCCTCTGTTTTACAGATTGGTTTGGAATTTTTTCCACCTCCAAGTCCCCCCCATACACCTCTAACATTTTAAGATCCAATTCTTTTAAACCTCACTCACATAAAGCAGGGATTGAAACACTGCAATATAAAAAGGTATGAGCTTTGGTCTCCAATAATTAGGATGGTTTGCATTTTTATATTTAAAGAACTTTTGTAAATTGGTAAGATGTAAACATTCTACGCAATAGTATTGCTAATATAACGTTTTGTATCACAAATGTAAATAGGCTGAGCCATTTACTACAACTCTGGAGAAAGAAAAATAAAAATAGAAAAGACAATAAACATTATAATTTTAAAACAATATGCCTCTGTGTTTTATGTAAAGAACAGGTATTGTTTACTAATGAAGAAAATGCACTTAAATGTGCATTTTGTCTTCAAATCACATTTAGTTTACTCTTTGCTATGATGCTTCTAAACAAGAAAACAAAAATTATTGGTATTGAATGGACCTGAAATAACAAATGATTAAGTATTCCACTGCATTGCTGATCCATATCCACAAATAAACAATGTACATGGAAGTGGTTTATGATAAACTGAAAAGCAATGTTTTCATCTCAAAGTATTATGCTTTTAAATATTTTTCAGAGAGGTTTTCAGAAATACCTGCTTGATAAACAATGCATAATACCTAAGAACACATAAGTAACAGGGTCATATGTTTAGTATGTTAAGCAAGAAATAGGACATGAAAAGACATTTCTTTATATTTTAATAAAATATGGAGCTATATCCTACGTGCACCTGAACACAGCTATAAAGACCTATAATAAACCTGCATGTTTACTTAGTGCAAAAATCTTTAATTGTTGAATGTCATTCTAATAGCCCGTGAATATTTCCACGTTCAACTTATTATTGCACTTAGAATGTATCCTTTAAAGCTGTCTCATTTTTAAGAATAAAAAAGAACCCAAGTACAACAGTGTAATTTGAAATTTAGTCTAATTCACAATACTGCTCCAAAGTATTACTCTCAGTACAATTTTAAAACTATCAGCTATTCTGAGGTTTAGCTGAGATATACACATATACAATAATAGTACTGCCTTCACCAAATTAAAAAAAAAAAAATAATCTATCATTCAGCAGCTTTACTTCTGAATGTCTTTGCACTCAGAGCTTAGTTTGCGCCTATTCAAAAGCTGTGCCCATCAAAAATTTCACCCTTAACATTCTTTGTTTGGGCTACTATGAAAAGGTGAGTGCAAAAACAGGTGAGTTTAAGCAAACTGAGCAGGCTCGGCTATTTAGAGAAAATAAAACATGTCTAACAATTTAGCTTTCTAATGCAAAATTATTTCAGCAAGAATTAAGGGTAACAAAAATACGCATATGCATGTTCATGATACAGAATTATAGGAGACTGTAAAACAGCATGAGAAACTTCAAGAAAACAAACCAGTTGTAAGAGCTACTACATTTTCCAGTATAAACACCCTCAGGTGTACCTGCATTGGATGGATCATAAAAGTTACTAAAGAATCCTAGGTCAGTGAACCAAAACCACCTTTCACGCTTCTAGAAACAGGTTCTGATGAATTAGAAAAATATTCTCTTCACACACAGAATCACTACACGCGTACACACTAATGCTACAAAAACTTCAAATACCTTGAAAATGTTGCTTGAAATCAAACTCAATGACTCAAAAAAAGTTCAATGGTATAAAAGATTCTTATAGCAGTTTTGCAATTTCAGTGATAGTTCAAGACTTTGTCAGTATCATCAGCCAAAAAGTACAAATCTAGCTTTGGTAGAAGAAGGTTGGGCTGGTACAGGAAAAGAAAGCATCAAAACCCAGATTCCGTTTCTTTCACGGGCTTTTCCGTAGCGTCCGACACCAAAGTGCTTTCGTTTTCCAGCATTTTCTCAGTAGTTTCTCCATCAACAGGTTTTGCTCTTTCTTTTAAGTTCTGCCGCTCATGGACCCAGGGGATGAAACACAATATAGCTCCGCCAACAAGGGGAGGGACCCCAGCCAGGTAGAATGCTACATCATAGGTGCCAAGGTGATCATATAGCAGGCCTGGAAAGACAGAACATTACCACTGATAAATAACGGGGCCTCAGGAAGCTACAAAACTCATGTCTTGTCTTTGGATTCAGAAACTTGAGAGCTGGCACAGATTATAACAACCACTAATTGGACCATCTGATGGCCAAATATAGGTGTGTCTATAGATGTAGAAAGGCATTCCAGAATTGATTAAAGACTCCAAGTAATGAAGAGCTCAGCATGTGACCACTCAACTACTTAGTTACCACCCATCCTTTAAAACATGTACCATGTTTCCTATTTGAAAGTTGCTCCTTTCAGCTTCTCCAGCACTTGAATCTTGCAGTGACTTGGAGAAATCCTCCCTCTCTTGTTAACAGTTACCTTTGATCAAGGTGCCCCGATCTTACACTAGATATACTGCATATATTGCATTCCTCGCAGCCTCATTTAAAAGTGTGTTTTCCAACAATTCACTCTAATTGCTCTCTCAGAACTCCTCCCATTAATCAAATTCTGTTCAAGTATTAATAGCTGTGATAGTGTATCCAGATCCAAGCAGCTAGTCTGTGCTGTTCTAGCTTTAAAATTTTGTTCTTCATAATGCTGCATAGTTCGGTTACATCTTACTGAACTTACTATCTTTCAGTAGCACTCACAAGACCTTAGGGTAAAGTATGACTGAAAACCAGGAATGGTAAGGATTATAGTTTAAGCTATTTCCACCTCCCAAAGAACTCCCAGTTTTCTTTTTAAAAACCTGTACTTTGTCAAACAGTCTCCCACCAAAGAATGAAAAAAAGCCAGTGTTCCTACTTATAAGAAGCAATTAAAGTGACTGGATCTTCAACTGTTCTTGCATGAGCAAGTTTTAGAGTCCAATTAATTTTCAGATTTTAATTTTTGAGCCCTCGTGTAACAAAATCAACATATAGGCTGTCACCTCAACAGCACAGAAAACGTCAGATCCTCAATCCAACTCGAAACCGAGGAATGTTTTACATCTGCATAGCTTAATAAAAAAAAAAAAAAAAACAAAAAAAAACCAAAAAAAACTGAAGCAAACTTTAAAGAGGACAGTAAATTAATAACCCATGAGCAGCACTTACATTCACCACACATTCTGAAGCATGTACTGAGAAAACTTCCAATGTAAGTGTACTGCATATTATGATGTAGGAACAGAAAACATGGCCAAAAAGTCATGCAACTATAGAAGCATATTTACAGCTACTAGCCCATATCTATACTTACCTGCAATGGGTGGTCCAACTGTCATAGGTATTGACATGAGTCCGAGCAGAAATCCTATGGCCTGGGAGACATCCTGAGCCCCAACAAGCTCAAAAGCAATGGGAGCCATAATGCAAATGAAGCACCCATCAAACAGGCCCATGAAGAGACAGACAGCAATGAGACCGCCGAAGATGTGGCACAGCGGGATCATCATAGACATCAGGCCAATAAAGAAGAATGAGGCCACCTAAACATGACGAAGGGAAAAATAAGTGTAAGACAATGTTGCATCAAATCAGCAAAGATCAAGGGAGCAAATGAGCTTTCTTGCATTTGTAGGGAATTAAACTGTCTGCCTCTATTTACTTTAAAATAAATATAAGCAGTCTCCATGGATTGCCACCATCAGAAGTTACATACCAAGAAAAAACAGACACACATATAACACTCACGACATGCAATCAAATAAATTCCACTACCCATTTCACAAGTTTTCAAACTGTATTTGTAATCGACTATCCTGCAGTGATTATGTAAGGTCACTTGTCATGTACCAACAATTTTTGAGAAGTTACTCTTTGCTCTTTTGACAAATGAACGCCATAAAAATAACAAAAGTTTAATATAGCTACAACACTATAATTAGACTCCTCACTGTTGTCATTTAAGTACAAAATAGCAGCATTGTGAGTGATTACTTCAGGGTGTTTATATTCAGAGAAAATGTCTGAAATCCTTATTTCAGTTTTTCCATATAAGGGTATCTTGCTGTATTCCTGTAACCATGCATACTTACAAAGATTTTATATTATAATCTTAATCTAAGATTATTATTTGTTTGTTGTAAATTAGAGGAATAAAACCCTTTCAGCAAAATGAAGCAGAATTAAAAAGAAAATAAAAAAGGTGAGAGTTTTGCTTGTATATCATCCATATATCAGCACAGAAAACCAATGTCCCACCTAACTGCACAAACATTTTCCAAACAAGACATTTGCATTATGCATTAGTCAGTTGTAGACCATTAAACAAGGTCAAAACCAAGGTTACTTAAAAACTAATAGACATGACTTTTTGATGGATAAGCAACATTAAGTAAATTATGTCATTAGGAAAAGTCTTTAAGCAGACAGCTAGATGAAATTTAGTTTTCAGGACAGCATAACAATTCTTTTAGGTAATGTACTTTATTTAGCATACTAAAGAAAAAACTGCTGTAAAGCATCTAAAATATGGTATATAAGTAAAAACATTGAAAAACTGTGCTTTTTCTAGGAACTTAAGGATAGAGGTGAAGAGATTCTTAGTTCTGCATATTCTGATACATAAAATACAAATGTTATTTGAGATGATTTTATATCTAAATAGTATGTGGTTATCTGTAGACAAACTCTAAACAAGGTATTGTTGACCAGATTCTTTGTATTATCATATTATGGTAAAAGCAGCAATCACTGTAAAACCAGAATCGCTAAACTTTGTGTCCAGAAGAGACAACAAGCATCGATCTGTTACTAAAGATAGAATTTATAAAGCCAAATCCAGCCAAACAGGTCTGTACAAAAGAATGCAGAAACGGGAAGATGGTTGAACTTGATGGGTAGAACTCTTGTAAGGTTCTAAGACGAAAGAGGTTTCATTTGTGTTAGTCAACAATAATTCTTAACTAATTTTTGAATTAGATATGATGATAGTATGAGCTGTTGGACAATCCAGAATAATACTCGAGGTGAATATTCACCCTCCCTCAGATATACTGATTTGAAACAGGAGAGCTGAAGGTGCTGGGGCACGGCTTAGCAAAAGTTAACGTTTTCCCTTCTCCTAACTAGGTGAAGCCAACAGTACGCGGAAGCATCCTAGCTCATCCCCTAAACAAAAGTCCATGCTTTGCAGTTCTAGCTAGTCAAGGAAAATGATAAAAAAAGCTTTTTGTTTTACTGCGAGTTTGGTATTTGTGCTTTGTAACTCATATGTAACATCTCAATGATGCCTTTTCACTTTTTATCTTAATATGGATATTTCCTGAAAGTGTAACAATAGGTATCAATGAAAATGAATGAGATACGGTCCCAGTCTCTACCACCAGAGAATCTAAATTTATCTAACTATGGCAACAAATACTTCATATTCAGAAAGGTGGTTCTTGCCTAAGAATTTGTTTTCATTATTGTAGTACAGAGTAATAGCCGTTAGATGTCTCCCTTGTTATTCATTTTAAAACAACAAGCATGCCCAGTGACTGATGATACACACATTGCTAACTAAAGCTTTTCCAAAAATCTACACTAACACTGCTACTTTCTCAGGAAAAAAGTATCATTTGTCAGCATGATGGGAAAAAGGTGCATATCCTCCCTTCATCCCCAAGCTTTAGCATTTCTGGAACCTGTGACTCTTTCTGCAAGTAACACCCTTCATTCAGCAAAATCTTCTCAACTAAGCACCTCTTAGAGTCCCATGGCTTTACCAGTGCGCACCGTGTACAGAACATACTTGACACCAAAATTATCACCTATCAAAGATCAAGAAAAGAGATCCAAAATCCTTAAGGGAGGAACACGGGGGGGGGGGGGGGGGGGGCTGGGGGGGTGGGAATCACCTTTCTGCAATCATCATGAAACTGGGGGAAATAAAACATGAAAAGCAGAGTCTAGGGAATCCCCAAAGGTTTTCTCACTCACATGCTAATGATTAGTAATTTCATTCATTCCCAGCTAAAAACAACTAGCAGATACTTGACATGCATCCTTAGCATTAAAAAAGAGAAGAAAAAACACAATCAGACATTCACAAACTTCGCACCAAAGGCTCCTACTATCAAAAACCATATATTAAGTTTCCTAGATTTTTGAAATTTCTCAAGTTTGAATCTCCAAATCAGTTAATTCTGCTTACTCAGTAGTAGCTGCAACCGAAGCCTTTAGAATATTGTTTGTATTTTCCTTCAGAATGCTGTGAAGACATACCTGTAAATAAACTTTTTTTGCACCAGGAATGTAATCTGCAACTCTGCCAAAGATCAATCTGCCAACTCCTGAAGTAATGCCCAGGCACAGCAGAAGCACTTCTTCTGGCACGGTGTCACCAAATCTGTCTTTTACATGGTTCATCTGTTTAAAAAGAAGGTGGAAAAAATAAACTGGCTTTAGAATTAAATGGAAGATAAACCTTAGAAAACCTGAGTTAGATAGAAGGAATCTGTGAATCTTAGATTTATAAAAATGTCTGCAAATGGCAAACTAACTTACCCTGCTTTTACAGATTTTAGAGTAAGTTTTGCACTGGCTTGTCAGTATTAAGAGCAATACAATAAAACCAATCTGAACCATGTTGTCACTTTACTCACAATTAAGGAAATTAATTCAAGAAAGCAAGGCTGTGCCTAATATCGAGAAAATTGAAGAGAACCTAGAAGGGCTCTCCCCAACCCCCATTTAATTTACCAGTCATAGATTTAACGTAACGGAGACTCCCCAAGGCTGAGCCGAGCCGCTTGCTTCGCCGGCCGGGGCACGCTTTCAGGCCCGGAGGTACCGAACGGCCGAGGAGCATCCCGGCCGCGCGGCTCCGTGCACTAAGGCAGGGCTACGTGCTCCCCAGCTCGGAGCATCGCGCCGGGGAAGAAGCAAGCAGCAGAGGGTCGGGGCTGGAGACCAGCGCGTGCCAGTAGCAGGGGCCCCTCCAGCCATCCCCGCTCACCGCGGCATCGGGGGCAAGGAGGAGGAGAGCAGGAACCGCCCTGCGCGTCCAGGAGAGGGGCAGCTGCAGCTACGGCACAGCGATCAGCAGGGCAGGCTGGAGGAAGGGACTACCAGCTTCCCCAGCCCGGAGCGACCGAACGAAGGCCCTCGCGGTAGGTCAGCTACAGCGCGATGGACCAACAGCGTCAGCAATGCTAACCTTGCAAGTCGTGTTAAAAAAAAACAATAAATCACAACACTGGCTTGATGGATTGGGATTTTTTTATATTCTTTCTGGTTCAACAGTGGGTTTTGTTGGGTTGAGGTTGTTTTATGTTTTGAGTTTTTTGGTTTGGGGGTTTTGGGGGTTTTTTTGTTGGTGGTTTTTTGTTTATTTTTTTTTTGTTTGTTTTGGTTTGTTTGTTTGTTTGTTTTAAATCAACCATTAAGACCAAAAATTACCCATAAGAAAGACTTTTTGCACAATCACTTTTTGAAACACGCTTGGCAATATCAAATACGCCAGAGTGGGAATTAGAAGATGTAGAAATCATTTACATAGTCTTGCAATCCCTGTCCTTGTAATTAGTTCCAAACAAGAAACTGTGAAGACTCAGGTGTGAGGAAGCAAACGGAAGAAACCAATTTTATGTAAGGATGTTGTAAAAACATCTGAGAGACGAGGTCACCACAGGCTGACAGATCTGGATGGCAAAAGCTGCACCCAGATTTTGTTGGTAATTCTGATTATGCGATAGCACTTCAAACTACAGGACCCTTAACTTCCAATGTATAAAATGGAAAAGTTCAGGTTTAGTAAATACTTCCAGAGAAAAATAGTCAAGATTCTTTCCTGGACTGAGTGTTAATACACAAGCAGAGCCTTTTTTTCCAACATAAAAAGGATTTGTTGAGTGATAGTGATTTTCTTAAGCATAAAATCAGTTGGGTTTTGTTTACATGTCAAAGTCTATTAAATATAATATTAATTTGTCCAGTATAATTTATTTTGTCAGAAAGGAAATAAAGAAAATAAGGGTTAGTGGTTTGGTTTTGTTTCTAAAGAATAACTTCTATCTTCAATTGAAGACAGATGCTTGCTCTGTTTTTTGAGGTTTGTTTTTTTTTTTTTTCTTTTCTTTTCTTTAAGACACATTTGGGAACAGAATCTGATGAAATTTTTCATCTGGAATGATATTTAAACATGAAAGATAAATTGTTCCATTTATTCTCTTTCTGCCAAAAGTGAGAAGAGGAAAAGCTGACAGTTTTCCCACCCCTGTCAACACCTGCTGGCCTGGCCGAGAAGAGAGGCCAAGGTATTTTCTGCCATTCTTGCCACCTGTTCCACTTCCATGTTTCTGCAGCCTCCAGCTTATTTAATTAGCAGACCTGATCCATCCATTCTCCAGAGGCTTTTCAAGAGGGAAGATAAAGCTCTACATCTAGGTAACTATTAACCCTGCATCTGCAACTGAGTAACTGGATTTCTCAAAGCTGCGCTCCAAGAGTGAAACGCTGTCCTCTTCATTAACGGGGGAAAGTATCAGATTCAATCAACTCCTCAAGTAGGAAAATAACCGCTACTCATCTTGATCTTAATAGCTAAATTAGGTTTTGTGGTTTGGGGTTTTTTTTGTATTCTTTTTTGGTTGGTTGGTTGTTTTTTTTTTTAGCTTTCACTACTCTTAGGCACACCAGAACCTTAAAGAGATCTTCCAACTAGATGCAAGGAGACACTTTTTCCCCAGGAGGGCAGTAGGCAGTGATGCAGGCTGCCCAGAGAGCTTGTTCAGTCTCCTTCCTTGGAGGTTTTCCAGACCCAAGTGCATGAAGCCCTGAGAAGCCTGGTCTGATCTCAAGAGCTGACCCTCTGATCCTTAACAGCATATTCAGTCTTCAGTGGTACAGTTACTAAGTAAGCTGTAACAGCAGTATTATTAACTGAATACCTGAAAATACAGTGATTCAGGATTAATTCAGTACTGTAAGTGCTAACTCACCATAGGCTTAGAGACATTTCTTGGAACTATAGGTTAAATATATTTATTTATGATGAAGTAGCTCAAAAGAGATTCAGATTTTCACAGATTTTTAGCTGACAGAACTAATCAAAAATCCCATGACAGGCCGTTTCTTGTGAACCTTCCCAGGCAGCGTCCCATCTATCAACAGTCTCGCCATTGCAGAACTATACAGGCTGTAATTACATGACTCTCTAGGGACTACCTACAGCAGTCAAATGGGGACCCAGGCACACAGACACATCGAAGGCCAAAGTATTTCCTTACGGGTTTTGCCTGTTCTCAGTAATGTAGTTAGCTCTTCACTCTGCAGAGCTGTGTGCATGCTGAATTGCAGGTCTGATTTTTAACAAATGTTGAGAAGCCCTGTAATTTTTCCTGAGCCAACCAATTCAACGTCTCCCAACTGTGACAGCTGCTTCGCTAACTTAAAATAAGTTCTCTTTGTACAATCCAATTTTCCAAATCAAGACATCGACAGCGGACAATATAACTGAATGCATACCTGACACCAGCATTGTACCTTACACCCTTGTTCTCTATTATGAGGGTAATGCATACAAACAGAGATCTTATTTTTGGAATTCTGATTACTGTTAGGATGAAACTAGAAGAAAGATTAGCCACCTCGGTAGTGGCTGGAACGTTTTCAGATATACTGTCATAGCTAACCTCTCTCCATCCCAGATTTTGCCAAGATCTTCCACTCAATGCACACATATTTCAGCTATATTCATGCACTGAATCAAAGATGGAGCAATCTGAACATAGGCATAGTTCCTTTTTCCAAACACAAAGAACCTGAATCTGAAAGAAATTATAGTGAACTAGAAAGAAACAGTTCTTTCTGTCAACTGCTTTCTTCCTATGTATATTCCATTCTGGGAATTCCCAAGCAAGTAAGGCTTTAGTAGGCTAAGCGCAATGCTTCTTTCTCACTGAAAGAGATGGCCAACAGCAATATATAACCTAGAAAAGCTTGAACACATAAAAACCAGCATTGTCTTCAAGTCCTGATGCAAGTTCTCATGGCTGACACTTTCATTCAGAACCAGTGTAAGGATAAAAGGAAACACAAACAGAACACTGCTGGCACCCTTCATAATTTGGAGATACTATTCCCAACAGCTCCAAATGAAGTTTCCTGAAAGAGCTGACAGGAGGGTCTTTTGGTTTTGATTTTTCTTTCCCAGACAGGAAAAGAAAAAGGATTGCCTACACAAACTCACTCTTCATTCTTCATGCTTTCCAGAAGTACGAGTTCTATAGAAATCCAGGCAAAACTGATTCCTTGGAATGCGAAGTGGTGAGCCATGCCTGTAAGTGACAAAGATGAAGCTTTGCATGAGGTGTCAGATGAGTCTAAAACATAACCTTACAGGCAAAAACTATGATCAGAGACTGAATCTCTCGTAGTGCTTATAGTATGGAATCTGCCCTGAGCACTTGTAACATCCATAACTGCTTTAATAATATTGATTTTTTCAGTAATAATTAGCCCTCCTAGCCATGCAACCATTTCAAATCTAGACACTCAAAATATTTCTAAACTAGTATAATCTATGAGACTCAGCCATCAATCTAGGCATGGCAATACCTCCATAATATATTGATTTGATTACTACCGTGGCCTTCAGAAACCCATTCAGCATTATTAGAAGACACAACAGCCTTGTCATTCCATCACTCAGAGTTTGGGGTTTTTTTTTCCAAGTTGTAAGTGCAAAAAGAGGCAAAAGACAAAAATAAACCAAGTACATGTCCAAGTAAGGGTATTAGCAACTGACAGGATACAACTGGAGTGGGTATATGTAGAAAGATTATACTCATGCTCATCTTCAAGACTACGATTAGATCCTCAGAAAAAGCTTACATTTATTTCACGCACAACTCCTGAGAAAAGCACAGACTTACTGACAATGTACAGATCTTGCTGTGCAGTTAGTGCCATCACACAGCAGCCTTCCTTCAATGAACAAGTTAACCACATGCCCAAACAAGCAGATTCCTTCAAAGGCCTGGAGAAAAATACTAACTGGTGCTTTGATAGAGATCTGTCAAGAAGTTGCAGTGAATTGTCCTAGAATATTGAAAGTTTCAGGATGTGCTGAAAAACAGAGCAGAAAGCAACTCTGCACAAGTCACTGTTTAATCTCTAACATAAGGAGTCACCACAAAAATGGGAGGGAGGCACCAGCGGTGGAGAATCAGAGAAAGAAACTTGATTGTCAGAGAACTGTATGACAGTAAGCACAGGGAAGATCATTTAATGCAAATACATTTCTGCTCCAGACTCCAAATAAACTTTTACTGATCAGTCGAAAACTAGCAAACGAATCAGGAACTCCCGACTCCTGGACATCTACTGACACGATGTAAGAGACACGACATAGCAGTACCAACACC